TCGTGGAGAGACATTTCTGCCAGCAGAGTTGATAAGGGAGTGCACTGCCGAGAATCAGATGCAGTGCCAGCCAGTCTCAGGGTTCCTGATTGACCTGGGCAACGTGGTGTGGGCAGAAACAGAATAACGAGTTCGGCTTACATCTAGTGATGTTCTTTTGCTACTTTCCTAATTACATAGTACAACCCCTCTTTTTTTTTCCCCCTAAAGATCTATGTTTGTTCACCTGGTGGGATGAATGGTGATTTCTTGAGATTTCTTGAAACCACTTTTTGTTTAGAAGTGGTTGACCAATTTTAGTAAGCAGATCTCCTGAATTGAGAATGGGTTTTGGAGGATTTTAAGACCAAAGTAACCATTGCTCACGTGTGAAGCCTTGATGACAGCACTCTTATGCTTTATTGGTGTTCAATTTTTTTTCTCTTGGTAAGTTTTTTTTTTTTTTTTTCTTTTTCCCGCTCCTCCAGAGAGTGAATGGGAATGTTTTTAGTGGGTGGAGAGTGGAGTTTGGAAAAGGATGGGAAAGGTACAGCTGTCTTCCAGATTAACCCTCAGTCTGTGTCAGAGTACTTATTTTTATACTGGGTACAGAGATGCTAGAGCTTATTGTCTTTCTCAGACACTTTGGTTTTGACAGAGTCTCATTGTGTAGCCCACACTGGCCTCAAGCTTGTAATCCTCCTGCCTCAGCTTCCTAGTGCTGAGACACAGGTGTGTGCCCCGACGCGCAGCTGGGTCATCCTATTCTAGGTGTGTTCCTCTGTTTGGCATGCTAGCAACTTCTGGTTATTCGTTCAAGTGAGACTCTTCATAACTGGTGACATTTTCTCATCTCCTTTGTTCTGGAAACCAAATAGCCTTAAAGGGGAAGACAGAATGTTGCAGAAGGAACTGGTTTTGTGTTGAGCTGCAGAATCTTAGGCTGCACATTTAAATCTGGGCCCCCTAGCAATAGCTCCAGGGTAGATGACCTGTGTGTCCATCCTGGGATTTGGTAATTTTCCTTGTAGGAACACTTGGCTTCATTTTTCCTGCCTTTGGTGATTCTGGGGTGATAGAATGAGCAGTTTCACATGTTTTTCAAGCTACTTCCTTCCCTCAAAGCCTACCAAATTTGCTTATTGAGCTGTGAGGAAGTACTCAGAAGGGGAAGTAGAATGATAGTTAAATATTGGTGAAACCAGTGTCTTCTGTCCCCTAACTTGACAGCCTAATCTTTCGACTTTTTGCTATAGTGAACTTTGAACCCTTACAGAGAAGACAGCTGTGTGGAAGGGAAGGGCTGTTCCGGAGACCTGTGATTCTGTTAGGGCTTTCTGGAATGTGGGTTCTGCCGCTGCTTCCTCTGGATCTGAAAGCACAGCACTCTCTGGTCCTTTCCCATGCTGTTAGTAGGACTGTTAATTCTTACTGTTTTTTAGATTCCTTTGTGTGATCATCTAAGCTGCTCTTGTTACAAAGCTGAAACACTGAAGTTCTGAAATAAGTTGTTTTTTTTCTGCTATTGGCCTGGACATTGGGACATTGGCCTTTTTTTCTTTCTTTTTTTCTTTCTTTGAGACAGGGTCTTGCTATGTAGTTGATGCTGGTGTTGAACTCACTATATAGCCTAGTCTGGCCTGGAACTCAGTGATCCCCCTGCCTTGGCCTCCCAAATGCTGGGATCACAGGTGTGTGCCACTGGTGACAACATAAAATTTAATGTAGTCTTTTCTTATTTTTTGGTGGTGGTGATAAAAATATACATAGCGGAAAATTTACCATTGGGATTTAGGTTAGGTTTGAACTCCAGGGCTCCAGTGATCGTTCTGCCTTAGCCTCCCACATATGCACCTGGGACTATATGCATGCACTACCAAGCTGGGCTAACCATTGTAACTTTTTTTTTTTTTTTTTTTTTGGTGGTACTGGAGACTGAACTAGCATAGTGAACTGAACTACATCCCTAGCCCATTTATTTTGATATAGAATCTCATTAAGTTGTCCAGGCTGGGCTGGAACTTGAGATACTCTTGCTTTGGCCTTCCAAAGTGCTGGAATTACAGGTGTGCACCACCATACCTGGCTTTGTAACTATTCTTAAGTGTACAGTTCACCTTAACACCCCCCACTTCTCTCCTAACTTCCCTGGTATACTGTTGAGGGTGAGTGGCTTTGAATAGCAGTTTCTGGCCTTAGTCGCATATTCCTGGACTCTGAAGTGGGAATACCTATGGTGTGGCTCTCCCCCACCCCTCTTCATGGAACACAGGCTCACAGGGGAGAGGCAAACAGCCCTTTGCTCCAGTGCCTCCTCCTAGGCCCCACCTTTGTTTACTCTGGGCAGGGTGATTGCTCTGCTCCCTCACAACTTGCCACCCTTCAGTGAAACTTACATTCCCTAAGGACACAGTGTCTGGCTCCCTGGGTAGGTAGATTTGTGAATGCAGTCAACTCCAGCAGGGCTGCACTCCAAGCTCAAGGCTAACTTCTAGTATACTCTCTTCCCTTTGAGTTCCATCTGTCTCTTTTATCTAAAAAGAGAAACCCCAGCGTGGCCGAGTGCCAAATTTAAGCTAATCCCCTTCTGTCCTTGGCCTTGTTCTGCCTCTGAGCACCAGCTCCGTGTCAGTGTCTCTCAGTGAAGGCTATGGTGTACTACTTGGAACTCTCCTTGCACGGGGCATGGTAGCATTTAAACCAAACTCACAGCTGAGGCTGCTGTCAGCCATCTTCTAATTGACCACAACGCTGCTGCATTCATTCCACTGCCACCTCCTCATCCAAGATCTTCACCTCCTGGGCAATGGAGAATCCTATTATTACCTGAAGGAAAAAGCGTCAGACTGTCCAGGCTGGGCAGAGGTAGGCAGGCTGAAGGGCCAAGACCACATCTAGGCAGGCGTGCCAAAACCTGGACTGATCACAGGAGCCCCAGGGGCAGTCTGGTCAGCAGAGGTATAGCTTGTTGGATCTGCTGTATCGGTACTTCATTGCTGAGTGACAAGGAGTAGACATAGGCCTTGGGTGGAGTTAAAAGTCAGGTTGTCTTCCTTATTCCTTTGACAAAGTATGAGACCTTGATTCTGCAGTCTTTTGTTACTTTATAAAGACAACTGACTTTCTCTGGGAGAAGGAAACAAACAAAAAACAGCTATGTCCAAGGATGGCCACACACCACCACCATCCCCCGCTTTCTCTGAAGCTTTTGTAGAGGGTCTCATCTTGGAGTCTGCTTTTGGTTTATGCTTGTTCTTGTGTTCATGCTCTTGCTCTCCTCCTCCCTTTTCAGCTTTGCGAAGAATTCTATTGTAAATGCTGGTTTGTGGGAGAAACTGCCGAGCCTGCTTGTTGTCATGGGAACTGCACCCTCCCCACCCCCAGAGCCTGTTATCTTTTGCTTCAGTTTGGGTAACTACTGAGCTGGATAGGGACTTACATTTCATGAGCTTCCTCCAAATTTAGTTCCAGTTTTCATCATTTCATTTTAGGCATCTGAAAGAAGGTAAATACTGGTAAATACTGCCAGTGTTTCAGAGTTCCCAATAGCCTGCCTTGCTCTTGACTGATTGGCCTTGTTGAATTTATGAGAAATCTGTGTTATTCTAGGAGACATCTGTTTTCCTAGAAGAGACAGAAGCAGAGAATACTTGTCTTTGTGACTGTTTTGATGTTTTGAATAGTTAGGGACACAGATTGTTTCTTAGGAATTCCAGCTTATGTATACTGCTTGATTTTTCTTTCCTATAGCCTGGTGGTTAGATTATATCTCCAGCTCCCTGTCCCCTTTCCCAGTTCCTTGAATCTTTTGTATATATGGAAATTTTTGTTCAAATCCTGATAGTTAATAGGAGTCTTTTGGGCTATATCCCTCTCCTCTCCACGAGACTGGTGGCCCAGATTTCTACAGCTGCCACCACCCCTGCCTGCTAGGAGGAAATCAGGGTAATGGAATTCAGGCGCAGCCTGAACTACAGAGGAGAGATCGTGTTTACCAGGCACTTGGATAACATCTGAACTGGGTGGCGTGCAGGGCAGGTTGAATTCTTGTGTGGTTAAGATAGTCACAGGAAGGAGGCTTTTCTCCCACATGCCAGCTGCCTCCTCCGTTGCTTGTTTCTCGTTCGGTCGGTAGCCAGAACACTGGGCTACCCAGACTGAAGCTTCTGTCAAGTCATGGGATACAGACCAGGAGAACATTGTCATGAGCTGTACTGGAGGGTGAAGCTAAGAGGGAGACTTAAGAAACAGAGGAGACAGTTCAGAAGTTTGGAGGGGTGATAGTGGGAATGGTGGAAACATTGTTCTCCCTGCCTCCCTCCCTTTCTCAAAACCTTTGTCTGTCTAATGTTATCAAAACAGAATTTTAGTCAGAAGGAGCTCTTCTTTCCTCAACACCCCAAGGGAGCAAAAGAACATGCTGACAGGGTAAGGTGTAGGTAACCCTGTGTTTCATTCTTTTGCTTTCCAGTCTGGAAGTCTCTTCCGGAAGAAGAGATAACTCGCCCTTGGCTAGTTATCTCCCTCATGTAGTAGGTAAGGTGATCTGAAGGTTAACAACTTGAGTTACACAGCAAATTGCTAATTCACAACTTAACTCTTTGAGACGCCTTGCTTATTTATTTTTCCACTTTATGAGACATTTATAAGAAAGTTGCTAAACATGAGATACAGCTCTCAGGCAGAGCAAGCCCTTCTCAGCTGTCTTCTGTGACCCCCGGTGTGTTCAGGAATTTTAGCTGAGTCCAGAAGGATGGTGCTGTCACTGATGGGGACAAGAAACCGAGTTTTAAAAGATGCTTCCTGTGGAACATGAGGGAGTTTGTTGATATATATATATATATATATATATATATGTAAAATTACATCTACTCGATCCTAGTGCATCTAAGCTAAGGCAGGTTCTGCCGTAGTAGACGCTGGCGACTTCTCGGTCTATAGTCAGTCCCATTCTTACTGTCACAGCTGGTCCTTTTCACCATGCCTCCACCTTCCTTTTCTGTTCTTCCATTCAAATGCAGGCTGAGGCAGAGGTGGCCTCCTTGAACCGTAGGATCCAGCTGGTTGAAGAGGAGCTGGACCGTGCACAGGAGCGTCTGGCCACTGCCCTGCAAAAGCTGGAAGAAGCTGAGAAAGCTGCCGATGAGAGTGAGAGGTCTGTAGGGGAGCTTGAGGGAGTTGGACATCTTTATTCCTGGCTCTGGGGATTGAACTCAGGGCCTTGCGAATGCTAGGGAAACCTAGCACTGAGCTACACTCCACCCCCTTTTTATTTTTTGAGACACAGTCTTGCTAAATTGCCCACGTTGACCTCAAATTTTCAATCCTCCTGCTTCAGCCTCCCTAGTAGCTGGGATTACAGGCATGTGGGCATGTGGACTTCAAAAGAAGTTCAAGCCACTGTATACTCTGTCTTTCACAGTGGTCCACTCTCACACTGCAGAGTGTACTCCTTTCCCTTTTAGTTGGCCTGAACTTGCTCTGCAGAGCATATTTTTCTTTTCAGGTCTTTAATAAATGTAAAACCTTGATACCTTTAAAAAAAGTTCATGAACTGAGGGTGTAGTTCAGTGATGGAGTGCTTGCCTAGAATGTGCGAGGCTCTGAGTTCAGTTCCCAGTACTATTTAAAAAAAAGGCTCTGACCAAGATTCCCCACCCCCCCCGCCCCGCCCCGTCATCCCTCCCTGTTTTGTTGTTTGGTGCTAGGGATTGAACCCAGGACTTCAAACGTACTATGCAAGCACACATTCTACCACTGGGTTGCACTCCTAGTCCAAGATCTGTTTTTTAAAATAATGACATTTATATTACAGGATCTTCTTTCCTTCTGTTTGCATATTCTGTCCCCTTGGAGAAAGAGATTGAGGATGGTTACCTCAACCTAGAGACCCCATTTGTCATTGCAATTTCTCTGAAAATTGATCTGATACTCCTTCTAATGGGTCCACAATCTGGCTTCCACTTTGTGAAGCATATGTACCCATTTGTGAGGTTAAGCCCTCTAAAACAGATTCTCAAAGTCAGATCCCAGTCTAGAAGTATCAGCAACTCCTGGGAAAGGGCTGGCAATTCAAATTCTGAGCCTGATCCACTGAATCACAAACATCAGAGGTGGACCCAGTGATGCACCTCCTCTTAATCCTGTCTGCTGCACTATTAGAACCAAGGGGCAGGGGAGATAGCATCTGGGATGCTACCCCTGTTCAATTAAGACACTGATGTTTTAAAAATTTCCCAGGAATTTTTTTTTTTTGGCTGGGAATCAAACTCAGGACCTTGGGCTTGCCAGGCCAGCCTTGTGCCGCTAAGCTATATCCCTAGACTCTCCCCAGCTGTGGGTGAGAAACAAATCACAGCTCATCTTTGTGAACTGCCAATTAGTTCCTTGTCACATGTGAGGTAAACCAGAAAAGAGCTGCATAACAACTTGGACTTGGCTTTTCAGAATTAAAAATCCCTTGTCAGAACTGGGCGTGGTGGTACACGCCTATAATCCCAGCACTCGGGAGGCTGAGGCAGGCAGATTGTTGCAAGTTCGATACCAGCCTGGGCTACAAAGTGAGCTCAAGGCCAGCCTGAACTGCATAGTGACACCATGTCAAAAAACGCACTGCTAGAGCTCTGTTAGCATAGGGCACGTGTGCAAATGAGTGAGATAGTTGTGTGTGTACTACTACAGAGTAGAGTCCAAATTATAGAAAGTAAGAAAAACAGCAGTTTTTTTCCATATAACTATATAAAACATTTTTAGAAAGACTATTAAAAGGTTATCTGTGATGGGCAGTACTAGAAATGGGGAGGGAGACTTAATTTTAACTTTATGCTCTTAGACAATACACTTAAATATTTAATGTCTTCATAAGCACGGGTTATTTGTAGTAGAAAAAACTCTGTGAGACTGGAATTTCCATTTAAGTGGCAAACAGAGGAATGGGCTTTCAGAGATGCAGTTTTGAGTCTCGGAATGAAACTGGTGACAGACTCCTCAGAGCATCTGTGCTAAGTTCATCCTGTTTCTGACAGAGGTATGAAGGTTATTGAAAACCGGGCCCTAAAAGATGAAGAAAAGATGGAACTCCAGGAGATCCAACTTAAAGAAGCTAAACATATTGCAGAAGAGGCAGACAGGAAGTATGAAGAGGTGAGCCTCCTTGCATGTGTCCTCTGCCGGCAGTGACATCAGGCCCCCCCGCTGTCATGGGGGATGGCTCCTTTGTTTCTCTGAGGTGTACCTGATCTGTTCCTGTAGGTGGCTCGTAAGTTGGTGATTATTGAAGGAGATTTGGAACGCACAGAGGAGCGAGCTGAGCTGGCAGAGTCGTGAGTATTTTGCTCCCCAAATCTTGTCAGACCTTTCTCTCCCTTTCCCTTTAGCCCGTTCACTAATACGAACAAACTAGCATTCCTTCAACCTTGTTAAACAGGGCCTGGGGGTGGGAGTCATCTGCCTATAATGCTTCTTTGGGGCTCTAAGAACGGCTTTGGGCTTCTTTCTTAACTAGTAACAGATGACAAATGAGGCTTGCTATTTCCTCTTGGGAAAGTTCACAAAATTGAGGGGATATAAAGCTGAGTGCATGTACTGGAAGGACCCTACTGGGTCCTTTTCTCCTTGAGACATGGAAGCACCTGTTCTGACTGGAGATCTGGTCAGTTTTTACCATGTTGCCAGTCTGCTGGGGAATTTTGGGGAAGAGCAGACCTTCACTGCTCCGTGACCTGGCCTTGTGTAACAAAGTGAGCGCTGATGCATACTCATTTGTGCTTCCCTTCCGTCCCCCTTCCCCGGACATGACATCCCATGACTGTGATGGTGTTTTCTTACCATTTAAAAAAAATTTTTTTTTTTCCCATTATGCTGCTTGTTTCCTTGCTGTGTTCCTTTTTGACCTTTCTCCCTCCCCACAACCTGGCCTGTGCCATCCCCGTGACTGTCACTAACAGCCGTTGCCGGGAGATGGATGAGCAGATCAGACTGATGGACCAGAACCTGAAGTGTCTGAGTGCTGCTGAAGAAAAGGTACTAACCCTAAATCTGCAGGGAGGTTCCGTGTGTTGTGTGGTTTTGTTTGGTTTTGTCTGTTTTGCAGCTGCCTCCCCTCCACTGGTTGACTTGTTTTGTTGAGTGCTTTCTCATCTCCTCATGGAATGCTCCATTCTTTCCTCTACTCGCTCTTTCACATCTCCCTCCTAGTCGCTTCCCTGCCTCTCCTCAGGGCCTCTCCCTCCCCTCTGGGTGGTCTGGGGCCTGTTGGGTTGAGCATTCCCTCCCTCCTCCTCCTCAGGTAGCAGTTAGGACTTACTCTGGGGAGCGGTTTCTCTAAAGTGCTCTTTCTTTATTAGCACCCAGACGTTCTGAGCCCAGAGCTTCTAGCTCGGGACATGTTCCCTGGTAGAGGGAGGAGGGTTGATGCTTGCTCAGGTGACCTAGGGCCTTCTCTTCCCCAATGTGCCTTCCAGCTCTCTACATACAGGTTCAATTCACCTCTGTGTGTCTCTCTCCCTTTTTTTTATTCTCTTCCTCTTCCCCTTTCCTCTCCTGCGGTATTTAAAATGTTCACAGTAAGTGTTCTGAGCTGGAGGAGGAGCTGAAGAATGTCACCAACAACCTCAAGTCTCTTGAGGCTCAGGCGGAGAAGGTAGGGGCTGGTTTGTGAAGGTGACAGGCTTTGGGCCTGGGCCCAGCCCTGCCCTTGATGAATGACTAGAGACACTTGTTCCCTGTAGTCCAGTGAGAATGTCCTCTTCCTCCCGACTCACTGTCCATCCAGATTCTGGGTTGAATGCTAATTCCTGTGTACTCTGATTGCCTTTGTTAAAATAGCTTCATGGTCTCAAGTGCCTGGAGTCGTGCTCCTTGGGTCAAAAGTGCTATGCTAAAAGGCAGTTATCAGGGTCGCTATACACCATCTAGGAAACAGATGGGGCCAGCAAATCTATGTTTCTCTGAGACCTAAAGGGCAGTCAAAGACAAATGACTTCTCTATACCATCACAGGGGAATGTTTAAGTGCTGTGGATCTGGGGTGTCACTATCCCTGCTCACTAAGCAGGAGAAAGGAAAAATGCCTCCGTAGGTTAAGAATAACATCAACATTTAGGTCCATTTTATTTTAATTGATTAATTTTATTTATATTAAGAGTAGGAAAATTTATTGGAGAAAAGGAATGGGAAATGGGGAGTGGGAATAGCTTCTGAGAGACAGAAGGGGTCCCGAATGGATGCCGTAGGTCCATTTTAAAAATAAAAGTTCTGGCCAGGCCTGGTGGTGTGTGCCTGTAATTCCAGCACTCGCAAGGCTGAGGCGGGAGAATTGTGGTGAGTTCAAAGCCAACCTGGGCTACATAAGTGAGTTCAAGGCCAGCCTGCAGTACATAGCGAGATCCTGTCTCAAAAAAGAAACAAAGGTTCTAGAGCTGGGTATGGTGGCACACACCTGTAGTCCCAGCATTTGGGAGGCAGCAGCAATCCTCTGAGCCAGCTCAGGAGGATTGCTGCAAGTTCAAGGCTAGCCTGAACAGCATAGGGAGAACCTGTCTCAAAAACAACAAAAAAAAATGTTCTGGAGGAGTCTATCCTGAGGGCATGAGGGCTCTAAAGAAATAGATGGATCCAAGGACCAGTTGTGCAAATGTGGGACCTTGTCTTACTTTTGGATCATTCAGCACATGAAATCCAAGATATCCAGTGTGAGAATGAATGTAGGGAGGGGATTTTGTCTGTAGGACTCCTTTCTACTCTGAAAGTTTTATTCTACTTCTCTTACAGTACTCCCAAAAAGAAGACAAATATGAGGAAGAGATAAAGATTCTTACTGATAAACTCAAGGAGGTGAGCTGAGGGGATGATAGAAAAGGACTCAAAATGCTGAGAGGCATGTAAGGCTTTTGTGTGGGCTTAGACTGGCTGGCTTTGGTTTTGGAGTTCTAGAAGTCGGAAGGAGAGGAGAGACCCTTTTCTCCTTCATCTTCCTCATTCTGATTGATTTTGTGTTTCCCCAGGCGGAGACCCGCGCTGAGTTTGCCGAGAGATCAGTAGCCAAACTGGAAAAGACAATTGATGACTTGGAAGGTACGGTGCCTGGTAGGGAGGTTCAAGTGGAGACCTTGCCCTGGACTGGGAGCCCTTTTCCCTGTACACCAAACGGAATTGGGGGTGTTTTGGCACATGTGCTATGCCCCATCCTATGCCACAGCCAGGCGAACAGATCCAACCTGAGTTGGATTTTAATAGACTTCACCTAGTATTTCTGGAATTCGCCTCTCTCTTTGAGGAGAGGGATAATGGCTGGCTACACTTACATCCAGTTTAGTCCGAAGTCTTTAGTGTGTTGAAGTGGAAGCCATGGTTTCAGAAGGCAACAAGGGTGCATGTGGTCACCCCATGGCTACATTTGGCAGTCCTGCCCACTCTTCTCCAAGGGAGGAGCTGCGGCTTAGCACGGCCCAGAGCTGACCAGTCGCAGGTGCCCTGGACATCCTTTCTGTCCCTGTACTCTGGCACCTGCTTCCGCTTTGATGAGGACAGGTGTCTTTTGCTTTGGGAGCTTTGAGATGTGCTCCCTTCCTGTACTCTTGGTAGCAGGATGTTCTTTGACGTGACAGATTTTGGAGAGACAGCCTGTGGCACAAAGGGGCCACCAGTAGGGGTCACACTCAGACACAGAAGTGTCCTATGGGTGTGCACTCTCTTCCTTTTCTATTTTTTGTTAAATTGTTAGCACGGGTAGGAACTGGGTTAACTGGGTGAGGTGGTACCCTTGTATGTGTCTCTGGTAACAGGACTATGCTTAGGTTCTCAACTCTTGCTGCCAAGAATTAGGGGCATCACGAATTGTACTTGGTCCTCAGGGACAGTGGATCTGAACCTGGCCAGTCATGGCTGCCAGAATAGACGTTTTCTGGTGTTTAGACACATGGTCACACATTTCCTTATTTCTAATGATTCCCTCTCTTCATCTGCTTCTGATACCTTTCACTCTGACCCCCTCGTTCCTCCCTGTGGTTCCTGTGCCTGCCCAGATGAGCTCTATGCCCAGAAACTGAAGTACAAGGCCATTAGCGAGGAACTGGACCACGCCCTCAATGACATGACCTCTATGTAACTATCTGACAGCAGAGTGGGGCTGGGCTCTTGGCTTGTGGGTGGGTGGGGGTACAGGCTATGCATAGCGTGCTTTGGTTTTGTCCTTTGGAAACTAGAATCTTTACATTTATTTTTAAAGCATTGGTGCTGGTTACTTGTTTGGCAGAAGCTACTGAGGCATTTAATCTTGGGTGAGTGGTAGATCCCTGATCTACATGTAATTTTTATACCTTGCATTTTTAGTCTTCACATTGTGACCAAAGTTACTTGTTTTTTAAGAAGAGATAAGCTGGGCATGGTGGCACACGCCTGTAATCCCAGCACTTGGAAGGCTGAGGCAGGAGGATCGTTGGGAGTTTGAGACCAGCCTGGGCTACAAAGTGAGCTCAAGGTTGAACTGCATAGCGAGACCCCAGTCTCAAAAAGACAAAAAAAAATGAAGGGATACTGATAAAGGTATAGAATCCATACAACTAAGAAAATAAGGCCGTGGGGCAAGTGACCTGGGCCCTAACATGTCATAACAACATTCAGACCTCCTGGGTGTATTTGATTTATATTGTTCAAGGGAAACACCCAAGATGGGAAATAAATCAGGCTGAGTCCCAGAAGCAAGCCAAGTTGTAAACAGCACCAAAAAAAGTTGTTGGAGACTTCATCTGTTTGCTGTGGATCTCACTGATCCCTGATGCTAATCTACCTCTTCTTCCCACTAACCCTGAAAAGAAGCCAAATGTTGCAGGCTAGTGTCTGGCTCTCTTTTTTATAATTCCTGCTGCCACCTCTTTTTCCTCTTCCTTTCTCCCAAATTGCTATCTAGATTGATGCTAGTTCTTCTTACCCAGAATATCCTTACTTTTTCATACAGATAACTGTCACCGCTTCTGCTCCTTCTGTTCTGGATCTGCCCCTTTCCTCGGGGAACCCAACGCCCCACTCGCTCTGGATTCCATTTGGGTCAGCCTGGCTGGTCCCCAAGGCATTAGGATGAGGGGGTCACAAAGCAACTTATGTATTCTTTTCCACCCCCACCCCACATTAAAATGTTAAGCTGCTGGAAGCTTTATGCCACCCTGCATTTGTGTTATTGACAAAGCTGTTGCTGTCCCTCAGAAGGGCCCTTGGGCACGTGATGTGGGGAACAGCTATCGTAGGCGCCCCTTCCTCTGATTTATGTATAATCAAAGCCACTTTGTGTGTGTCTGGTTTTTTTCTTGACATTTAAACTTGGCTGGGGCTTGGACGGGGGGCATAGCTCAGTGGTAAAGCAACTGTTTACATTGTTCAAGGCCCTGGGTTCCATCCCAAGTATCACCAAAAAAAAAGTTAAGTTTGGCTGATTGGAGCCTAGGCCCTTTGGAGCAGGAACTCTAGTATAGTAGTCCTTAAGCCAAATGAGATAGTCCAAGTCTCTCACTACCAAGTTCTTAAATCTTTTCCCTGGAGCGTTCACATTCTCTTTAGGTTGTCTTCCTTTGATACAGTCAGGTTGGAAGACCATTGAAGTGACTGTCAATACCTGTTTACCCTTTAGCAGTTATTCAAATAATGCATTCTCGGAGCACTAAGCGGACCCAAGTATATTACTGTTAAAATTGACTAATTATATCATCCCAAGTCACAGAAAAACATAATGGGTGGAATTCTTAGCACTCCCCCCCCCCCCCCCGGTACTGGGAATTGAACTCACGACCCTGCGCTTGCCAGGCAGGCACTGTGCCGCTGAGCTAAATCCCCAGCCCCCTTATCACTTTTGTATTTTCTTTCTTACAAATTTGAGGCTCGCCATCATTTGCCTGCTAGCATGGGCTAGTGAGACACAACACAAGTGGTAAATTACTTACTGGAAAAACTAAATCAGTATTGCATATTTCAAATAATATACACATGAGGGTAATGATTGATTGTATACATAAATTTCTACAAGTAAAAGTGCCTCTGGTTCATCTGTTGGAATTAAATATCAATATTCTGGAAATTCATTCCAAGCTGGTGGTGCAGTGACGCACACCTGTAATCTTAGCATCCTGGGAAGTGAAGCAGGGGTCTCATAAGTTTGAGCCCAGCCTGGGAATTTAACAACTTCACAAAACTCTGTCTCAAAAAATAAAAAGAGCTGGGGATGTAGTGCAGAGGCCCTGAATCCAATTGCCAGTACCACAAAAAGGAATAAAGAAACTTTTACTCCAGTTTACACAGTGAAGATCATTCTGGATAGCAGAGCTGCCCATTACACTCATCTAAGCATCTAAGTATTGTTGCTTTTCCTTTAAATAGATACAGCCAAATAGAGGTTTTTCCAAACCTAGAACTTTAAATCTTGTATCAAATTCAGATCTTTCTACCAATACCATTTCTTCCATCTACATAGCCTTTGGGATTAAGGTGCAGATTGACTTTATCTAGCTGGTACACAATATACTGATATTTTCTAAGTGTAGAGTATTAACATGGGGACCAAAATAGAGATGGAGACTCCATCCCTCCAAGTTGCTCAGAATCTAGTAAGAGAAGAACATGCATAGAGCTAAAGATCGCGTGTGACGAGTGCCACAAATAATATGCCATGTGGCAGTTCAGGAGGGAAAGAATACAGTGGGGATGATGAGGAAAGACTCATGGCAGAAGACACTTAGTAAATAATAAACATGTTAGGACTTGGCCTGCTTCCCAGCTGAGGGAAGCTGAGGTAGTAGGATTCAAAATTCAAGGCTGGCCTGGGCCATTTGGGTAAGGCCTGTCTCAAAATAACAGGGCTGGGATACAGTTCAGTGGAAAAACACTTGCTTGGAATGTGTGAATCCCTCGATAACTGATTCAGTTCCTCAATACTGCCAAAAAACAAAAGAAACCAACTTGCCTCTTCATTTTCTTTAGGTTTCAAAAAATTGGTTTTGTTTTCTTTTTGAAACAGGGTCTTACCTTATAGTCCAGGCTGGCCTTGAGCTTGCAGCAATCCTCCTGCCTCAGCCTCCCAAGTGCTGAGATTATAAGTGTGCACCACCACACCCAGCAAAAGATTAGATTTTTGATGAGCAGAGTTGAACTGAGGGACAGTAGATATTGAGCATTCTTTTAAAGAGAAACAAAGTAATAAAGGCGTAGGTGGGCATGGGAAGGACACAATAGCTATAAAGGCAGATTTAGAGGAGGGGACAGGGGATGTGTACTAAAATCAGACTGGTTTTATCTTTCTATCCATCCATCCGTCTATTTGTGTGTGGGTGCCAGGAATCAAACTGGGGACCTCAAACTTGCCAGGCAGGTGCTGTGCTACTGAGCTATATCCCCAGCCCCTGGTTTTAATTTTATTTGGTAAGTGACATTGATGCCCTTGGAAATTTTGAAACAGACATGCATTATGATACAAATGCCACGTAAGTTTCAGTCTGGTGGCTAAGTTAAGATTATATTGGAGTGGTAGCAAATTAGCAAAGTAATGTACAAACACAATGACTCCCAAGTTTCAGCCATTGGCAAACCATTTTTACCAGTGTCTGCCATATTTAGCTGCTGTCCACAATACTATTTTCTTCAAATCTCTTTTTTTTTTTTTTTTTTTTTTGAGAGGGTCTCACTGTGTAGTGTGTAGTGGAGGTGTTTTTCTGAATGTACATTAAAATGTATATAGCTATTTTATTTATTTATTTTTGCAGTATTGGGGATTGAGCCCAGGGCCTTGCACATACTAGGCAAATGCTCTTCCACTGAACCACATCCCCAGCTTTTTTTTTTTTTAAGTTCCTGATATATATCACCTACATGCTATTCCTGTGGATGGTACACATACTCTGCATATGTAGTACCAGCAGCATATGTCCCATCGGGAAGTACTGGGTTGGTTAGTGCAGTTTTCCAGGAGAGAGTAATCAAGGTCTGAACCAAAACAGTGGCAGTGGTAGGGAAGTACCACAGAAGATAGGCATTTTGAAGTGCCTGGCCCCTGCACGTGAGGAGGGAAAGTCCAAGTGACTGGTTCTGAGACT